GCCTCTCAACCTTCTCTTGCGGAGGCTGAAGAGGTCCAGTTGCCCTGGTCTCTCCTCGTAGGGCTTGGTCTGCAAGCCCTTAACCATATGAGTGGCCCTTCTCTGGACCCTCTCCAGGTTATCCACATCCCTCTTGAAGTGCGGCACCCAGAATTGCACGCAGTACTCCAACCGCGGTCTGACCAGCGCCCGACAGAGGGGCAGTATCACCTCCTTGGATCTGTTTGTCATGCATCTGCTGATGCACGATAAAGTGCCACTAGCTTTCCTGATGGCTTCGTCACACTGCCGACGCATGTTCATCTTGGAGTCCACTAGGACTCCGAGATCCCTTTCTGCTTCCGTGCTCCCGAGCAGTTCATTCCCTAGGCTGTAGGTGTGCTGGACATTTTTCCTCCCTAGGTGCAGCACTTTGCATTTCTCCTTGTTGAACTGCATTCTGTTGTTTTCTGCCCACTTGTCCAACCTGTCCAGGTCTGCTTGTAGCTGTTCCCTGCCCTCCCACCCCACCCTTCATTGAGCTCAAGGCCAGAAGAACCCTTATATCATCTATCTGAGTTCTTGTATATCAGAAATCATTACATTTCACTCAGTTATCTTGGTACTGAGCCTATCAACTAAAGAGTATTTTTCCAACAGGCATCCATCTTCAAGGCATCCGGACAGCAGAACCCACCCACCACTTCTGCAGGTACTTTGTTCAGCAGCTTATCTCCGTTATCTTTATTCAACTTCTTTCAGCTTCCAGCTCAATCCATTTAGCCAATCAAGAAAAACAACTGAGAACTTATTTGATTATGCCATAGAAACACCTTCACCTGGAGAAAATACCAAGTACTGAAGAGCTCTTTTGTTTTACAGAGAAAGGCATAACAAGAACCAGTGTCTGCAATCCAAAGGCAAAAATCAGAAATGAAGCAGAAACAATAAAGGTGACGAACCACCAGAATAAACAAAGGGCCCCTTGGTACCAGAAGTTCTCTTCCTGCAAAGGTACTTGTCCACTGTCAGAAAGAAAAAGTATGCCTTGTTTGGATAAGTTAAATAGGCTGAACTCTTGCCATGTCTAGACATGCATGGCTGTGCGGTATGTGGCATTGCAGACCCGTCTGTGGCATTTCCTGTGCTGCTACCTTGCAGCCCTGGGAGGGGGGGTTTGACCCTGGGAGATTCGGGAGTCAACAAAATCTGCACAGAAAAAAAGAGGGGTGGCGCGCACAGCTGCAGGGCACACTGCCCCAAAGTGAACGCTCTGGCTGCTGGCCACGCTCCCAGCTGCAGGAGCACCATGGTGCAGCTTCCCTGGCCCCCAGAGCCCCAGGAAAGGCTGGGCTGGCCCCATGCTTCTGTACCCCACCCAGGGTAATCTGATGTGCGCCAGAAGGCACGTGGCATGGGCGTTCCCCAGGGACAAGCAGCAGCGGCACAAGGTGCGCCACTGCTACTTATCCCCAGGGAACCAAATGTCTGCACTCATCTGGACACGGCTTTTAAGTCTTTCACTGTAAAGCTCTTTGAACCACTGCTGTCGTTCCTACCCTTCCCTTTTATTTTCAACCTCTTTTAAGAAATGTGAGCACCAGAACGGGACAGTGTTCCAGTATCAGTATGGCCAACACCACATACAGAGGTGAAACTATCTCCCTCCTACAACTCATTATGCCCCTGTTGAAGCACTCCATCATCACACAATCCATTTTGCCAGAGCCTTGCACTGAGCTTGTTGAGCTACTTGACACCAGTCGCTCTTTAGATGATCCAGCCTTCTATTCTGCAGGTGTGGCCTCCATTCAACCCTAGCTCTACCATTTCGTAATTGTTTGTATTTAAGCACATTTATTTGAACAGGCCCCCTTGCAAACAAGACAGATGGTTCAGAAGGAATGTCCCTCTTCTTCATTATTTCCCATTCTGCCAGGCCACACATTTTAAGCAGCAGTAATTTTACACACACTTCCAGATCACTAATGAAAATGCTGGAGTCTAAATCCTAATCCTGATCCCTGTTAGAAATCCCATACATTCCGTGATTACTTCTCACTGACAACTACCTCTTGAGACCTGCCAGGAACCTAATTCTCAACTTATTTAATGCATGCTTTTTTATTTTGTATCATACTAGTATAAAATCGAAATCTTGCGCAGTACGAAGCCAAATGCCATGAAAAAGTCTGTTACATTTATCTTTATAAACCCAATCTGTAATCTGAAGTAATGAAATGAGTCTTCTTTGACAAGCGCAGTTTTCCAGTGGCTGGTGTTACTTAGACAACAGAACCTCGATCGTTCGTGTCTGGGGAGGTCACAACCCACTTAGATTTCCTGTATTCCTGTTCCTTAATTCTTTATTAATTGAATCAACTCTTCCATTATCAGTGTAAGACTGAGACCTATAGTTACTTGAATTACCTGACTTGTTCTTTTCAAATACTGTCAACATTAGCGCTCTTCCATTTTTCTGGAATTTCTTTAGTATTCCAAGATTTAGGGAAAAATAGCATCGGTCACCTCTTTTAAGACTCAGGGTACAAACTATCTTGGCTTCTTGGCTTAGACATGTGTATCCCTAGTAGACATACAACATCCTCCTTATATATTTTATCATTTTCATTCAATACAAGCACTTCATCCTGGTCATGTTTTCCCTTTATTGTTAACAATTTTACCATCTCCATCTAGTGACTGACACAGCACAGCCCTAGAAAGCTAACCGAAGGTGCCAGGAGCTATAAAGATGACAACAAAAAGACAGCAGTAGTCTTGAACCATGGTATTGTCCAGCCAGCAATGAATAAGGCTGGGGACACACTGGTCCTAGGAAGTCAGTGGGGCTAGTGCTGGCAAGACTGCAGGGACTTCTCAGTGCATTACCGAGGAAATGCTTCCACAGGTAAATGTGGACCAGAGAGAAGGAAAATCTTCCTAGAGAAAGAAAGTGAAGATAGGAAGGCAGCTTTCTCCTATTCTGCAAAGATCTAACCTGCAATTTAGTTCTTCAAGAAACTGCACAGGGTTTATTCATAGGCAGGAGTTATCGCCCGTTCAAGGAAGCCCTTGTTCTGAACGAATAGAAAAACACCATCAGGTCTCTGGGATAGACCTTTACCCCCCTTCCAGCAGAGAAAAGGTCCCTGTACAATTTGTAAAGGTTTGGATTAAGGCCTGAGCGTGCCTTTGACAGAAATTATTCACAACTGTGGGCATCAGAGAAGCCTCAGGACCTGTTTTAGGACCACGCAACAGCAGGATTGTATGTATGCTCCCTTTGCCTGTGGCACTAGTACCAGGCAGGGGAAAAATCAAAGCAAAAGGAAAGTATAAAAAGGCACAGAAGCACATGTAGGGAGTATTGGGGAGACACCAAGCTGCAACTTTCTTCCCCAACCCCCTCCGGGATTTTCCACTTTCTTTATGGATGTATCAGATCACCAGGAAGAGGCCTGAAAAACATAGCTGCTCCCCACACGCTTCTCTCCTGTGTTTAGCAAGGCTCGTTTAAGTCTTTTAAATTGTTTTTTTTACCATTGGTTTGTTTTAGTTTGTTGAGTGTCTGTTGATCCAAGGAACAGCTTCGAGATCATGAGGAGCAGACTCCGAGTAGGAGGGCACTGGCCGCCAGCAGCACAACACTGTTCACAGGTATTGCAGCTACAAATAAAAACACGAATCAAACAGAAATCAGGCTAGTGAATGTCCTCAGCTCTAGATGTAGCATTTAGCCCGCAGAGGCACTGCCATGCCATGCCAGAGCATTCTAGGCTAGGAACGGACGCTGCATTTGTCCCTGGATAACTTATGCCTGTGTTTGTCCCAGAACAAACATATCCCAAGATTGACATGTACGCACATCATCCTTCTAGCCAGGGTTTAGTGAGACACTTAATGCACTGCTGCTTTTCTCCCACTGATTCAATGATGCAGTCATAGGATAACTGGACAGACATCCTTTGCAATATCCCAGGATAAACTGTTACTAACTCTTACCCAACAGAAACTGTTAGGATTTATCCTAGGGCAACAGACATGGATAGCGGTACAACTACACTTTGTCCTAGGATAAAATGCAATGCCCGTTTGTAGCCCTAAAGACAGAAGATTATTCTAGAGCCAAATTATTCTAGTCAGATCTTGATGGAGACTACACCAAACTGAACATCACAGAGGAAAGGATAATAGTGATATACTTCTCCCTTCAACGGCAACTGTCAACATCTGTTTGCAGATCAGGATGTCAATATTCAAATATAAATTCATGCACTTGGTTCATTTCCCTCCTTGCTCTTAAGACTACTTTCCCGACAGAACAAAACCCCCTCAGGTTCTCTGGCTTTCTTCTATTCCCAGTGAGCACTGAAATCCTCTAACTCCCTTCCAGGGGACAGAGAACTTCCCTGGATTTCTCTTGCAGCCACCAGCAGCTGCAGAATACAAAATGCTGTGCCCTAACCTCCACTCCCTATTTGGCCCATGGCCTATGCTCCCTGATGATTGCTGGCCTGAGGCAGAGATTGGGAACTACAGCAAGGGGAGACAGGAAGAGCAGGAATAGAGACAATTGGAGTGGGAGCATCCCCAGTAGGGCACCAGATTGGAATCACTAGGCAAGGGTCAGGATGCTCCGCTTCCCAAGGTACAGAAGTAGGGGGTGTGTCAGCTGGGTCTCTCTCTGCAGCTCACTGGAGGGCAGCAGACAGGAGGCCTCAGGGCAGGTCCACTCTCTAATTTTTGACTTTGTGCAAAGTGGGAGCAGATGGGCAGGGATGCACTTCTTGGAAGTGCTCTAAAGAGCACTGCAGTAGCCGTACTGACCGTGTCCACATCGTAGCACAGGGGAACTGTCCACCCCATCAGCATCAGTGAGCATCTTACAGCGCAAATTAAAGAGGAAGAGAGAAAGTCATCATCACTACTAATATGCAGCCATACCTTCTGCAGAACACTGGAGTGACTGCATCCCTTCCAAGGCCTCTAAATATTCCTTCCCCAGCCATTCTCTATATGTCCTTTTCTCTCTTACTGGCACAGTCTTAACAGTAGAATCCTTAAAGAGCAAGTCTGTTCCTGAGAAATCCATGGAATCAAACATTTTGAATCCATTTCCATTGCTGTCATTTCCAAAGAAATCCTGAAAGCAATTCAGAGGTTTCACTGTTACCAGGTTGAGTTATAAATCCCGTGCTATATTCATTTTTAGAAGCATTTATAAGACAACTGGAATCAACTCTCTCCATGGCTCAGCTCACAAACAATTCCAGGAGCTCCAACTTCAGTCCAATAGCCCTTTATATGTTTATAAATGTTTCAGATCAACTTGGTGATGCTCAGTACTACTTAATGGCAGTTAAGAGTGTCCTGTTAGAGACGAAATGTGCTTCAGTCTCCAAGCCTAATCAAGTCTCAGTCTATGTGGTAAGGCTCCCAATACTGGGGGCAATTGGCAACACAGGGGCACTTTCTGCAACTGTAACGTGCTTGAAACTCCCATTGTAGCTTTTCTCATCCTCCACCCAGCTACACAATTGTAATGCTTACGGCTACCAGCGGTATAAATCTAGAGTAACAGTATTTGTGCAATTGCAACCTGTAACACATTTTGAATCAAATGCTTTTCTAAATGTTAAATCTAATACTAACATCTTTAGGGACCACTGGATTACATAGCTCCCCTGAGCACCCCTGCTCACTACGAAGTCCTAGTGTACCCGAGGGCACGCTCTGAGGGATCCAGTAGGAAGAAAAAAAGAAAAACAATCCATAGTTATGACATAACACCTACACGTAAAGAAACCAAATCCAGGCTGCAAAGGCCCCTAGCCCCACCTTCCCACTGCTCTCCCCTCTGTCCCACTCCCTGCACTCCCATCCCTCACGCTGCCCAACACCACTTTGCTTCCTCTTGCGCTCAGGGGAAACACTTAAAGACAGTCAGCAGCCAGGGCACAGCGGCCCCTTACAGACTAACTCGTTCAGTCTCCCTGCTCCCTGTGTGTTCACATATCTAAGAAACTCCCTGGAAGATGCAACAGTGCAGCTGCATGTATTTGTTTCGTATTTTAAAAGTATGTGGTGCAGGAGCTTAGGTTCTGGGAAAGTTGCCACAGCAAAAATTTGGATGCCCCTGCTTGCACTGGTTTGAGAACAAACTCTTTTTGATTTACTAAACAGCATCTAACCTCCCCTATTGTACCTGAGCTTTGTCCAAGAGTCCATATACAGCAAAAATGTTGGTGTCTGCATGGACCATGACAGCCTGAGCAGGCACCTGCCCCAAATGGCACTGGGCATACTGAGTGACTTCTGCACGGGCTCCATTTGGACACAGTAACTGGAAATTACTGGATTTCAGGTGAAGGGCCCAGGGATCATGACTCTTACCTGAAAGAAGAAAATAGCAGTCATGATTCACAGAATTATTTAGAATAAAGGACATGACAAAGGATGAATATTGAAGGTGTCTGTAAAACTAAATACCATCTGTGTTCTCAAAAACAGTTGAGTGCTTGACAAAGGCCACATCCCCAGAATCCTCCACCAGGCACCTTTAAAAGACCAGAGAGGTAAAATTCAGTGCAACATATCATTATTTGTATCACACCATCATAAACGCTTTGAGAGGTTGGGGCCTAATTCTTCACACCTTACTCTGCCAAGTAGCTCCCTGACTTCACTACTTGCTTAGGAGTGAGGGCCTAAGCTAAGAAACAACAACAGAAACACAAATGAAGAGGTGCAGGCAGGGGAGGGAAGCATTCATTTTCGTCAGATATTAGAAAAGGCATTAAAAAAAAGTCAGGAAGTTCCAAGAGCCCAAAACAGGAGTTCGAGAAGGGAAGGCTCTCATGCAAAACGGTGTGAAGGATGACACCGAGAGGGGCCAGTGTTAGGTGAGCAGAGGTGAGGCGGAGGGTGCATTTACACAAACAACTGTTTGAATCACTCTCTGAAATGACCTAAGCAAGTTAAATTTCACTGGGATTTTTTTGGTTCAATTAATCACATTTTTCAGAGAACACCCCCACCCCCCCTCAAGAGCCTGCCACGTTGTTCATCTGTGCGCACATAGATTCACAGAATTTAGGGTCGGAAGGGACCTATTAACCCCCACCCACGTACATATAATTTCTAAAACTCCATTTTGGTGCTAAGGTGCTGGACCAACCACCTAAAACTGGTGGTGTGCATAGGGGCAGGGTGCTGGGGGGCCTGTCATTCCAGGTTAATCTAATCCAATCTCACTTGGTTTGGGATCAGACAAGAGTCTCCAGTTCCCAGCAGGGAGAGGCCAGCAAAGAACGGCCCTTCGTGGCCTGGCAGAGGCCAAGAGCGTGACCAGCACCCTGTGCTGAGGTGCAGCCTGTGCAGTCCCCCTTCGGTCCGGGCACTCTCCCGTCTCCCCTGTCAGCCCCTGGCTGCTCCCTCAGTGTCTGTGTTGCTGGGCCAGGACCTGGACCGTCGCGGTGAGGGACACCAGAGGTCTTCTAGCCACCTTCCTCCCCCACTCGCTGCCTGCCTCCCCCCATTCCCTGCTGAGCTTCCCCCAGCCCAGGCCTCTCTCTTCATGAAGCCCTGCTCTCCTCCTGTCAAGCCTGCTCCCTCAGTGCTGGCTCTGCCCTGGGCCAACTCCCTCTCTGCTCTCGAGGTTGGGCCCTCTGTAGCAGGGGCTCCTCTCCCTCCCCTGCTGGAGCTGTCCCCCTTCTCCTGCTCTCATACCGCTTTCAGCTGGGCCTTCCCATCTGAGCCATCCTTCTGAATGGCATTCAACAGGAACACTGCATGCAAGACATGGGAAATGGTAGTAACACTCTCCTTAGCAGTGGGTAGCGTCTAGTTTGAGCACCACATTTTAAGAGTGATATAGATAAATTGGAGAAGGTCCTGAGTTGAGTAACAAAAATGATAGAGATATTGCAAACAAGCTACATGAGGAAAGCTGAAGGAATAGGGTATGCTTAGGTTGAAGGGAAAAGAAATGAAGGGAAGAGAAGACAGCAGTTTTCTAGTATTTGAAAGGCTCCCACAAAAACAGAGGAGAAAAGTGTTCCTCCCTTGCCATAGAGGCCAGGACAAGGGGCAATAAGTTTAAACAGCAGTGGAGCAGATTTGGCTCAAATCTCTGGAAAAAGTTCCTAACTGTAAGAACAGTAAGAGAACAGAACAAGCTGCCCACAGAAGTTGTGGAGTTTCCTTCGCTGGGCTTTCCTGTCTAGGATGGAGGAGGTTTGTCTCGAATGGATGACAAATGGCAAATCCAGAATTACTGCAACGGTTGGACTAGGGTTCCCTGCTCCTTTCTGGGGATGAGCAGCAGCAAGACATTGCTTACTGACTTTTCAAGCCCCACCAGAGAAATCTAGAAACAGAAAAAAAAGACTGGGGGCAGCTTTTGTAAATGGGGAGGATTATCAGAGCCAGATGCTGTATGCGTCCTCTGGCCAGCTCTGGGAGAGTCAGCTGCCGCCAGGCGACACGCAAGTATCTACGTTGTTGTGGCTATTGCGGGCTGGGGAAGGAGGCTGCTCTATGAGTGGGCAGTTTTCATTTGTGTTGGGAGAGCACAGCAGAGAGAGGGATGGAAAAATCTGCTCTAGGGATGTCCGACCTGGGGCCCGCAGGAGGGAGGTTCAGCAAAGGATTAGTGCTGCCCTGAAAGGGGCAGCCGGGATGGGTCAGTCTATTGAGATTCAGTCCATTTAAACTGAGTCCATATGTGTAGATGTAAACTTAGGCAAGAGGAAACTGGGAGGGATGCTGCAGCTGCTGCAGGAAGTGTAAGTACAGAGCCCTATTGGGGTCCGCTCCTGGTATTACCCTGATACTGAAGGAGGCTGCTTCAAGAAAAGCATTGTTCTGGTCAGGGAAACATCAGGTTTGAGCATTACATTTGTCTCTTCTAGAGCACTGCATTTAGACCAGGGAGGTGGTTTAGAGTTTGGAAACTTCCCAACCAGCCTGGAGCCTCACGCCCCTTTTCCCCACAACGGCACGGGAACGGACAAAGGCATCTTCCAATGGGCACACACCCTGGTAAAAGCCTGAGATACCGGGGGAGGCAAGACAAGGGGCAGGATGCTACATGAGGCAGAGCCTTTTAGCACATTATCGTTGCTGGAAGAGGTTTCAGGACAACTGCCATGTTAAGGTTCCTGACAAGCACTGGGAGCCCGCCCCCCGCAGCAACCAATACATTTTGTTATTTGATATTGCAGAATAATTCCTCACCTTCTTCTGGCTAGTAACAGTGACTACATTCATTCATTACCTGAAGGCTCCACTGTAGCTATAATAACGTTCCTGGCTAGTTGCAGCACACTTGTTGTTGCCATTGCCATCTCCAATGCAGAGCTCGCACAGTTTTGATGGATAATTGTCCCTATTAGCTGAAGGCACACAGCTAGCAGAGAAAAAGTCACTCACAGCTAGGAAGGGAAAGACAGAGGTGAGAATGAGCTTTTCACAACAAAGCAAGGTTACAGTGTTATTAAATTACTTGCCAGTGCAAGTCTCAGTAAAAAGCCACACAAGCTTAGTAGGAGTGACAGGTTACAGCTGCTGAAGCAACTTCAAAATGCTGTTTATGTGGTTAACTAAGGAAACTGCCCAGCACTCTGGAGTGATAGCAAAGGCAAAGAAGTCGGCGGTAAGTCCCTTGCACCCAGTCCCTTTGCTTTTTCCATTAAACCATAACATCTCTAAACGTAGTTTAAAATAGACACCATTGCATTGAATTTCATTTCCTGCAATGACATTTCAAAGCAGGAAGTCACTAACGTACTCGTGTATAGGCAGTAACTAGTGTTTCCCATACGGGCAGTCCTCAGACTTACGACACAATCGTTGGTACAAGAAAGCGCATCTTAAGTCGAAACGTTGTAACTTGGAACCAAATTGCCCATAGGAAACAATGTTATAAATGGGGGATTGGTTCCTGAACCAAGGCCCAAATACCCTGTTTGCACCAAAAATAACCCCAAATTTTGTACTCAACCAATTATAGATGAGTAATATAGCTACATTAATGTGTTTATATTGTAAATAGCAATCATATTGATTTGGAAGGGCTTCTTTGAGGTGACTTTGCTGGACTTTTTGAAGGGATCTCGGCTGGAGTCTTCTCAGGAGTCCCGGCTGCAGGTTTTTCTGGAGTCTTGTCTGCTCTTAAAGAAAGCGTCCAAGGAAGCCTGGACAGACTCCAGGGAGATGGGCGACGCAGCAAACTTGTTTGCTGGTGTGGCACGGTGTCAGATCAAGCATCATAAAGTCAAAACAGGGTGTCAGTTTATAAATGTTGTAAGCGAGAAACATTGCAACTCGAAACGTTTTAAGTTGAGGATTGCCTGTACAGCAAAGGTTACAAGGGATAGTCAATCACCAACATTTGACCCAAGCCTTTACAATATCCTGACATATAGATAAGTGATGAGATAAGCTGATTAGACAGACAGGATTGATTTTCCAAGGTTGTAACAGAGGCCTGCTCCTGCAACCTTTGCTCACATATGCTCCTACACCGACCTCAGTTATCCCTAGAGGGACACAGTGAGGCAGAGTCCGTGACACTCCTGGTATATGGATAACTTGCAGGAGACTAAGGGTTGAAGGACTGAGCCTATAAAGTTTTTGCAGAAATTGCGGTGAAAGATTTCTCCACCTACAAGACGTATTCTAAAGACAATAATGTGCAGAGATGCACATCACTCCCATTAGCCTGGCCAGGCACAGCAGATCTAGCGCCTGAGCCATTAAGATGAAAACGTACTAGAGCTTTCCCAGTGTGAAACGCGGACTAGCAGACCACCAGGCTATGGAATTTCTCTTTGGAATTTTTTCCCAGTGACCAAAATGCATGTTTTGTCTGTGGCGTGTTCCCACTTACCTTGAGGAAGGTTACAGTCCTTGGGCTTAATAAAGCCCCTTTTAATAAGCAGGCCAATGGGAATGCTCCATCCAGCCATTCTCCCATACCCCGTGTGACAGGACTTTTTCCCGTTCAGGTCACTGAAGGCCAAGGCGCTGGAAGCGTTCCGTTTCACTAGCGCCACGGCGTAGTACGCGCTGCTGCTGTCGTCAGCTTACGGAAACAAAAAGACACGTTACCTCTTCCTGAACGTCTCAGTGACAGCCTGCGCGTGCATCGTCTCATTTGGTGCTGCTGACTTCCTAACACGCTCTGCATGAAGGAGACTGCACCAGCAATTACAGTCCTCTTCCCATTACAGTATGCAGGTCTCTTTAATCTGGGTTACAATGTGATGTGGCGTTCATATGCAGCCTTTCACTGACAGAGATGTTTTTATTGCTCTCTCAATCTGGAGAGATTTTTTTAAATGTCATTAAACCATACCTATTAAAATCTGGTTCAATTCCCTGCTTCCTTTTTCCCCTCACTTTTACAAAACTATATTTGGGTCCAAAACTACTTGCCAAACTGCCTTAGAAAGCATGTTGTTTACAAATAAAATCTGCAGGTGGGGGTGGGGGAATCTCTAGATTATGCAGATAGCTAGTCCCAGACAGCAGCTCATTTCTGCAGCTTCTGAACCCTTTCCAGCCCACCAAGATCTTTGTAAAATCCATTATAGGAGCATAAGAACTGCCATGTCCTGGGTCAGACCATGGGTTCATCTTGCCCCGTATCCTGTCTCACGGAGGCAGAGCACAGATGCTGGAAGGGAGAGTGAACTGGCTCTGAGCAGGGTTTTTTCCCCACTGCTCCTCTCCCCCTTGCCGCCTCCGGCACTGAAGGTCTAGGAAGCTCTGATTCAGAGGCTGCATCCCTAGCTCCCATGTGCTGTAGCTCCAAGAATGTGTCCAATCCTTTCTTCCAATCTGGCTAACCTGTCAGCTGCCACCATGTTCGTGTGGGGGCCACGAGTTCCACACCTGAGTTACAAGCGGGGCAACAAAGAACTTCCTTTTGCTAGTCTTAAACTTACTACCTACTGGTTTTATTTTGTGACCTCTTGTTCTTGTATTGAGAGAGTAAGTAATAAACCCCTATTTTACTTTTTCTTCGCCATTTAGTATTTTGTAAACCCTTATCATGCCCCCCCTCAAGCATCTCTTTTCTATATTAACATCATGGCTGTACATCACAGTCCACAAACAGTCTCATATGCTCTGGTGTCCTTACTCCTACATGCTGTCTTTCTGCTTAGCATTCATCCACTACTGGGTAATGCCAGATTCCTGGAGTAGTACGAACCTCGTTGTGTGATAAGTGACAAGAGCACATCTTGTTTTGTGCTCGAGATAGAAAGGAGATGAATACACGTAAGGTCCATACTGAGCATATGACACAGTCTTCCTTCTTCCCAGATTATTTCAGCCAACAAGCTCCACAGGGGAGCCTGTTCTGTCCACACAGGCACTTCAGTTCAAGGTGGGGGATTTGGGGATTAAAGGAACTAGTTAGCTTCCTTTTGAAAATAATTTCCAGGTGGGTCCAGTGACCACAGACTCTGTCTTGAGAGGTGTTTTGAAACAGCCAAGGAGCAGGCAGCCTGGACAACAGAAGGCCTATGTTCCCTCTCCTTACCAGAGTAACTTTCCCCTGCAGCTGGCACCAGGCCATATGTCTTCCCAGCAGTATAAATATCAGCTCCACCCAGAGTTACAGCATCACTCTCCTTTTTCTGAAAATAAATACAACGCAGGAGTTGCACGAAAAAGAAAAAGTCCTTGACAAAGCGGGATCTCACATCCCACAGCTGCGTTCAGGAGGCACAACATTAGAAGCTCAATAAAGTACATTGTGGCCTGTACAGCACACTTCCAGGCCCTACTCCATAGCAGTTATGCAGATAATCCCAGATTAATTTTCTAACACTTCACACCAATTAAGCACAGAATAAAACCCTTTACTCAGACAGGCCTCAGATGCTGAAATGCAGAAAGTGTCAACAGCAGTTGATTTAGTCCTTAAGACACAGGCTGGCTTTAAGATGCTTAACATCACCCAAGTTACTGGTGATACTGCAATGCCAGGGCATCTGACTACCAGGCAGCAAAAGCAAGCTGCGGTTCTTGCTAGACATGAGCTCTATCAACCTCTTGCCAGGGCCTCTTCACCTTCCTGCTGCTGCTAGCCACTCTCTCAAGCTAGAAGCAGCCTGGGGATGTAGAGCACATGCCGGCGAAAGCAGCCCTGTATTCTGACCTGGGGTAGAGAAACCAAGAAGCCAGTGGGGAGGAAATGAGGCTCCCTTTCTACTTAGCAGGGAGCCAGGGACTGGTGAGTCATAGAAGACGTCTCATTCCCAAGTGGAACAGGACAGAGGTAGCCTCAGTACTCACCGCAGTTTTATTATTGACGTTTTGGAACAGTTTCCCTACACTGGCAAACAACACAAAACTGACTCAAATCCAAGCCTGATCTGCTGCAGAGCTCAGAGAGGGAAATATTACTTATTTACTAGTAAAATAAAGTCTGCCCCATGGATATTTTCATCCCCCTCTTTTTGTGTATAATTCAATAACATTCTTTCCCTTGCAGAGAACAGCTACAATTTGTGGATGGATAGAAGGAGGAAACCCATCTTTTTAAGTCACATCTGTACATGACTAAATATATTGCCAAACAAAACGCACTTTCTAGTGCAAATGGAATAGCTAGATTTCAGTGGAGAAAGGCCCATAGGACTACAGAATATTTGAGAGACCTTGAGCCATTTAGGAATGTGCATCTGTCTGTCCTGCCCCGGTAGGAAAGGATCCAAGCCGCGCACTCAAGTCTTGCCTGTGACTTTTAGGCTACGCACGTTGATTTGCTTGGAATTCTTCCTCAAGAAACCCATTCTGCACGATCTCAGAACAACGGCATGGCTCAGCGTGCACACCAGAGAGGCCTTGCTGCCTCCAGGCACAGTGGAGTGCACTACGACAATGCATCAGACAAAAGGTCTCAATCCTGAGCATGCTTCCTATAGCCCCAGGCACAGAAGTAGTGACTAGACTGCATCCAGGCCCCGCTGGCTTGGTAGCACTTGTAATGTGCAACTGCGTCCACTTACCAAAGGCTGGTAACTACAGTGGGCTGCTTGTAACGCTAGGTTTGCTGACTGCTAAGGGATTACGCCATCTATAAAGTACGACAGACAGCCCGGGGTCTTGTCGGTAACCTGCCTGCCATGGCAAGGGAAAATTGATAGCAAATCTTTTAAAAAAAAAAAAAAAGCCTGGGTAAGCTGGAGATAGCCAGACAACATCTCGTCTGCAAAGGCCTGTGCAGTAAAGCAGTTAAGCATTTGAAAAGGCAGCTAGTAATTATTGTTACGGGACCTTCTTCCCTCTGTTATCTGCACCAATACCACAGTGAAGCAGCTGTGATCCTAACTCAGAAAACGGGAGTCTCACATATGTCCATTGGCTCTTCTAGTACCACAGCTGATTGTCAGGAACAAGCATGGTTCACGTAAAGTGTGGTCACAAGCTTACCTGGACCATTTCCATACACTGCTCTTTGGTCCCGGCTGAGACGCACTGGATCTCTGGTTTCAAGTTCTTTTTCTTAAAGGCATCAGCCATTTTGCCACACTTCCAGATCTCCTCTGTGGACACAACACACCAACGCAGGCTCTCTGGCAACCCTACATTAAACATGAAAGCAAACACCTAGGATTAGAGCCGTGTGCATTCTGGGTTGGTTGGTTCATTTTTAGGGTGTAGGAATGTATGTACAGTGCCTACTACCACATTTCTGGGCACCTCAATTTGTTAAACATACACACTGTCTAGTTGGCAGCCGGTATCAAGTGCAGTTCCCCAGGGATCGGTCCTGGGGCCGGTTTTGTTCAATGTCTTTATCAACGACCTGGAAGATGGGCTGGATGCACCCTCAGCAAGTCTGCAGATGACACCAAGCTGGGGGGAGTAGTAGATATGCTGGAGGGTAGGGCCAAAAGAAATGACTTAGACAAATTGGAGGATTGGGCCAAAAGAAATCTCTTGTGGTTCAACAAGGGCAAGTGCAAAGTCCTGCACTTAGGAGGGAGCAATCCCCTGCACCGCTGCAGGCTGGGGCTGACTGGCTGGCAGCAGCTCTGCAGAAAAGGACCTGCAGAAAAGGGGTGACAGTGGACAAAAAGGCTGAATAGGAGCCAGCAGTGTGCCCTTGTTGCCAAGAAGGCTAACGGCATCCTGAGCTGCATCGGTAGGAGCAAGAGTGTTGCCAGCAGATCAAGGGCAGTGATTCTTCCCCTCTATTCAGCACTGGGGAGGCCACATCTGGAGTCCTGTGTCCAGTTTTGGGCCACCACTACAGAAAGGATGTGGACATGTTGGAGAGAGTCCAGCGGAAGGCAATGAAAATGGTTGGGAGCTGGGGCACATGACTTGTGAGGAGAGGCTGAGGGAACTGGGCTTATTTGGTGTAGAGAAGAGAAGACTGAGGAGACTTAATAGCAGCCTTCACCTCCCTGCAGGGTGGTTGCAGGGGATGGAGCTGGGCTGGTCTCAGTGGGGGCAGATGACAGGACAAGGAGCAATGGGCTCAAGTTGCAGCAAGGGAGGTTGAGGTTGGATATTAGGAAAAACTACCTCACTATGAGGTTAGTAAAGCACTGTAACAGGTTACCCAGAGAGTGGTGGTATCTCCATCCTTGGAGGTGTTTAAGGCACGACTGGACAAAGCCTTGACTGGGATGATGTAGTTGGGGATGGTCCTGTTTTGAGGAGGGGGTTGGACGAAATGACCTTCTGAGCCCCTCCTAACCCAAACCTTCTATGATTCTATGAACCAGTCCAGCAGCTTCTTACTTGCGATGGACTAAGCTATCAGGATTCTGGCTCCTAGAGGCATCTGTTAAGCCTGTGCCTTTGTTTAAATGTGTTCTGAGCATGTACAGATGCAAATTAAATGTTTGAAAACATGACCTGAATGTAACTAGGCCTGTCTAAATATGCACAGGCCTGAAACAATGATTCGGGGTGGTGGGATCCATCATATTCTCTTAACTGTGTGCTCCTACCCCAGGACAGGTGAGGCTATGGCATGGGGGAAGATCCATGGCAAGCCCATGATGAATAAATCCAGGGCTCCAAATTAGCTGAATGCATCTGTGGCTGCTTTAAACTGCCTGCAGAGCAGGCCATAGATTAAGAGAAGGAGATGGAAAGGGCTAACAGACAGCAGGCAGAGCACTGTTCTGGATGTCAAGGGGTGACTCCTGAAAAATGGGAGGACAGCCCTGCATGGCTTTGGTGAGACAGCTTGTTCCTGGAGTGGGACGAGGCCTCCTAGGCAGGAAGCGTCCAAGCAATCCGCCTGGTAGAACGACACAGCCCAAGACAGCCAAACGCTGTGACCAATTTCACTCGGTCCGCACTCGAGGAAAGCTCCCATTGAGAAGTGACGACGTCATCCCTCGGACACCCGTAGTCGCTCGCCTAAGGCAGCAGGATTTGGAGCCGTGCATTTCACAGGTTTCTGCAACACATTATTTGACTGAAGGTGGGCATTCAGCATATTGAAACTCAGAAAATACTAGGTACTGAAGGGAAAGAAGGACACGGGAGGGGAAATCGTAGGTCAGTCTTTCCAGGTAACAGTTCCTATTTGCCAGACTAAAATCTGACCAGCCAGGCTTGTCTGCACCTCATGCAGTTTGCAGTGGAGCTCTGGTGACTCCAAACTCCAGCCTGAGGATTGTGAATGTGAGACTCAAAAGCTAAAATCCTTAATCTGGTGAAGGGAGAATGGAAAACCAGGAGCTAAAGCACCAAGGAGAAGGATGTGGAACAAAAACCAAGGTAGAATAGGGATCTCCTCCTCAGTGCCTCGCCTCACTGAAGGTGGCAGTATGATGATGAGACAGTACTGTATCTGTGCTGCCCGCCAGGAGATCCATCTCTGCGTCAGACCTCGGAGTGGATTGTGATGAAACGGAGCATTAGCCTCTGCGACCTTGTCTCTGGATCTTTGTACTGAGCTCAGAATAAGCACTCAGTTGCCTGTGCCCACTGCCTGGCATAGAAACACAGCCTGACTGGTTTGTTTGGGAGAAATAACTCAGCTTCTCCCACACTGCCGCAGCTGGAGCAGGGGAGCACAGTGCTTCATGGTCACTTCAGAGCATCCGTCTTCCCCCCTGCAGCAGGAGATCGGGCCCACGGTGCCCCAAGGATCTCAGGATGCAAAGGGGGCCTGTCTTGGTGCAGGGAACCAATACTCCCAGTTATGGAGGGAAATCCAAAGGCTCAACTTACTGCTGGGATCACAGCCCAGGCCCTGCATGGCATGTAGGTACTCCTCCCCTAGCCAAGCCTGGTAGGTCTGGTTGGTGATGGGAACCAGGGCCGTGGTGGAGTCCTTGAAGAGGAGGTTCTTCCCGCTGTAGGTTGCCGAGTCAAACATCTGAAAGCTGGAGCCTTTGCCACGGAACCTTTGCTGTGACATGAAGGAAAGAGAAAACACCCGTGAGGCAAGCACTGCTGTGTTCAAGTACCCTTCATCTCCGCACAGCCGAAGCCCTGGGGCTACCAGTCCTGCACGAGGGCTGGTAGCAGCCCCTTGCCCTGTGAAATGGCCGCAGGATAAGCCAGGTGCAAGGCAGAAGAAGCTTTACACCCACAGGGCTTTACACCCCAGCTCCAGCGCCATCCATTGGCCAAACCCATATCTGGACCTAATGTGTCCAGGTACCGAATGCCCTCTGCTCCCCCCGAGCAACAGGAGGTCAGTGTCTCCCAGGATCAGTCTGGGGGGGATGAAGCCAACCATAACAAACACCAGGGACAAGGACAGGACTCACCTGCCCCTGGTCGAGCATCTGGAAGACACGTGACCCATCAGTGTCAGGTCTGACAACGACAGCGTGAGCCGGCACACGGGCCAGGTGGCAGCTCCGCCATTCAGTGACCTCAGCTGTGCTGCCGTCACGGCAGAGGAGCTGGAAGTCACTGGAGTGGAGCTGCTGGGACCAGGAAGGCAGAGTCTGGCCTGAGATCAGACAGGACACACTTATGGAACGGCTGCAGATTTGGGTTGAGCTACTCACACATTTGTCACACCTCCTCCATCCCCATCTGCCCTACCTGCCTGGTGCAGGGGGCTGGGAGGGGCCCAATCAATGGGCTGCGATTCTCAGCTGCCCTCCACCTGCTTTGCCACGAGAACAAAGTAAAGTAGGGAGAAGTCCCCAGGGAGTGAAGTGTCTGGAGTGGCTGAATGCTGCCTCGTCACCCTGACCCCAGCGTCCCACGGCCACGTCCCCCACGTGGCCGTGGGAAGGGCTGGAACTACTCAAGTTGCCAACACAGTCCTATGAGACTGCAGGCAGCTGGCCGTAAGCCAGAGCAGCACCAAGGACACCTTGAATGATGGCGAGGCAGGGACACTGCAGCAGTGCCCAAGCAGTCCCACAATGCAGGGCCACAAGAGCAGCCTAGAATATCTGTTTTCCCCCATCCCTCCCCCTGGACTTCTGCAGTGAGCGGACGTAACAATGGATCCACACACTGGCTGAGCAGCATTACATTTAGAGGCAGTCTGCACAAAGTGCTTTGAGTGTAGGGGAAGTTGCTTTGGTTAGGATTGCCCGCCCCGGACAAGTCGTTATACTCAAGTTGCTGAGGTTTCCAGGTTGCAAGGAGCCAAAGCCAATCTGTTTTCAAATTTTAAACACCCAGCAAAGCTCAGGCTTGCTCGGGTCCAGGACTTGAGTTCAGGTCAATCTCTGCTTCCGTGGGCTGTCAGAAACCCCACTGTGCTCCCTGCTGCAACCGCCAGCACACTCAAGGACGGTGTCTAAGCTCTCTCCTCCTCCTCGGGTTCTGGTGCTGCATCCCACACCACCATCCTCTTTACACAGACGCTGGTTCCTGGCATTGCCAAACTCTGGGTGACTCACCGTCCGTGTTTTCGGACACCGTGCTGTGCTTCACAAAGGCCACATTTCCTGCCCCTTCAGCCAGACACCTAGGATAAATATGACGGTGCTTACACACTTGCACAGGGCTACCCATCACCACAGGACACTGCTCAGTGATGACCACAGGCCTGTAGAGTATGATGTGCCCCAAGACCTTCACTAAGAGAAACTAAACCATGCACTGATGTGAGGATCAAGGCAAAGACCAATGGCTACTAGAATGGAGAGGAAAAACTCTCCTATTATTTGTCCTAGCCCAGCCCTGGAACAGTGTCCACCTGGGAGTGCAAGGAAGCCAAGGGCTTCCAACGGGATGCTTACGTGTCTGTACACCAATGCCGGGAGCTCAGGGAACAAACAGGAGGAACTGGTCCTCCTGCTAAACAAGAATGACTACGATCTCACAGGAATAATGGAGACCTGGTGGGACTCCACCTATGACTGGGCCATAGGCATGGACGGCTATACCCTGTACAGGACAGATCATGCAGATAAAAGGGGTGGGGATGTAGCTCTATGTCAAGGAAAGTTACACCTCCCTGCAAGTCGACATTGGCACCCAGGGAGGGCGACTAGAGACCCTCTGGGTTAAAATACGAGGGGAACGTGGCACAGGGGACACAATGGTAAGAGTCTACTACAGACCCCCTAACCAGGAACAAGAGCTCGACCAGGACTTCACCAGGGAGCTGGCAAAGGCTGCACACTCCCAGAGCATGGCTGTCATGGGAGACTTCAACTACCCAGACATCTCATAGGAAGAGCGCTCGGCCAAATCCGAACGGTCGCAAAGCTTCCTCAGGTGCGTGGACGAGCTCCAGCTGACCCAAGAAGTCTGTGGATCAACAAGAGGTAAAGTGCTGCTGGACCTGGTACTGGCCAAAGGGGATGATCTAGTCAGCAACCTAAAGATCGAAGGGAAGCTGGGAGACAGTGACCAAGAGCTGATCCATCGTAAAGCTGGCGAGTCAGTCAGCAATGCAGAAGTCCTCGACTTCAGGAAAGCTGACCTTGATAAGCTTAGGAGGCTCCTTGTCAAGGCCCTAAGGGACCACAACTCGACAGGGAGAGGAGTCCAAGAGGAGTGGCTGCTCCTTAAGGGAGCGATCCTGAAAGCACAAGGCATGTCCATCCCATCTTGCAGAAAAGGTAGCAGAAGGGCACAGCAACCCCCTTGGCTCAGCAGGGAACTCGTAGACCTCTTACGCCAAAAAGGAGAGGCGTATAAAGGATGGAAGGCTGGAATCACCACAAAGGAGGATTATCCTGTGCTGGTTTACCTGAAGGGAGCAGACCAGGGAAGCCAAGGCTGCGACCAAACTCCACCTGGCTACACGTGTCCAAGACAATAAAAAGTCCTTTTTTAGGTATGTGGGGAGTCGGAAGAAAAGCAAAGGTAACACTGGACCACTGCTAAACCAAATGGGACAACTGACAACCAACACCCAGGAAAAAGCTAACTAGCTTAATGGGTACTTCACATGGGGTTTTCATCCACTCCAAGGGACCACCCTGCCTAGCAAGATGTGGGATGGCCAGGGTGAGGATGAATTTATACCCGGCAATGGTGTAGACCTTGTAAAGGGACACCTGGAGAGGCTGGACACCTTCAAGTCAGCGGGTCCCAACAGATTGCACCCCAGAGTACTTAAGGAGCTCGCAGGAGTCACAGCCCAGCCACTGGCAAAGATACTTGAAAACTCCCGTCTTCAAGACAGGGAGGGAAGTAGATCCAGGGAGCTACAGACCAGTCAGCTTGACCTCAATCCCTGGAAAGATGCTAGACCATAAAAGAAACCATCCTTGACAGGCTGGCTGAGGGACAGCCAGCACGGGTTTGTTGCAGGTAGGTCTTGCCTGACCAATCTCTTCTCCTTCTCTGACCAGGTGACATATCCCCTGGACAAGGGAGAAGAGATTGACATAAAAATGTGGACTTTAAAAAAGCCTTTGATCTGGTGTCCCACGATCTCCTCTTGGAAGAACTGGCCAACTGTGGTCTCAGCTACGGCACGGTCCGATGGCTGGGGAACTGGCTCCGAGGCTGGACTCAGAGAGCGGTGGTCAACGGAAGTGAATCATCGTGGTGCTCTGTGACCAGTGGTGTCCCCCAAGGCTCAATCCTTGGACCGGCTGTCTTTAATGTCTTTATCAACGATGTAGATACTGGTGTTAGAAGTGGACTGGCCAAGGTTGCCAATGACACCAAACTTCGGGGTAGAGTGTCCACACCTGAGGATAGGCTGGTGATCCAGGCTGCCTTGGATGGGTTGAAAAAGTGGGCAGGTACAAACCTGGTGACATTCAATATAGATAAATGCAAGGTACTCCACCTTGGGGGAAAAAACCCACAGCATGCTTATAAGCTCGGCAGTGCTACCCTTGCTAGCACCAAGGCCAAGAGAGACTTGGGGGTCACGAGCGATCACAAGATGAACATGAGCCACCAATGCGATGTTGCAGCTGGTAAAGCAAACCAACTCTGGCTCGCATCCATAGATGCTTCTCAAGTAAATCGCAGGATGTCACCCTCCCGCTGTACTCGGCCTTGGTGAGGTCGCAGCTGGAGTACTGCGGCCAGTTCTGGGCTCCACAATTCAAGACAGCTGTGAAGAAGACTGAGAGTCCAGAGGAGAGCCACGCGCATGATCAGAGGAAAAGAGAAGAGGTCTTATGAAGAGAGGCTGAGAGCCATGGGACTCTTCAGCCTGAAGAAGCGCAGGCTCAGGGAGGACCTGGTGGCTGCCGATCAGTACATCAGGGGCGTGCATCAGGATCTGGGGGGACACCTGTTCACCAGAGCGCCCCAAGGGACGACAAGGACCAACCGTCACAAACTCCTCCAGGACCGTTTCAGGCTGGACATAAGGAAAACTTCTTTACTGCCTGAGCCCCCAAGGCCTGGAATGGGCTCCCTCCAGAGGTGGTGCAGGCACCTGCTCTGGACTCCTTTAAGAAATGTTTGGACACTTATCTTTCTGGGATCCTCTGACCCCAGCTGACTCCCTGCCCCTGGGGCGGGGGGCTGGACTCAATGATCTCCTGAGGTCCCTTCCAGCCCGAATGTCTATGAAATGTGTGAGAGTTGTGTCAATGAGCTCCATGCAGTGCAAGACATAAATATCCAGAAACTCTCAGCTCTGGACAGTTTACAACCCGAGACAAACTAAAATCACAGGAGGAGGAGGGGCCACTGTTTATAATAAAACGATACAGCTTTCTTCACTTACAGCATCTGGGAGGGCCTGGCCCTTGGAGCCGGGAGGGCTGGCTATTTACAGGGGCACGAATGCAGCTTGCGGACAGCACAGGAAAAGTAAAGGAAAACGGTGGTAGGGCTGCCAGGGCAAATCCGGGGGGAACAGAGGAAGGGATACGAAGAGCCCCAACCTGCCCTTGAAATATGAAGATTCAGATTTGCCAAACACTTGGCTCGGCAGGTGGATTGGAGGTAAAAAGTCACGAGGGCTGGCTGTTGCTCAGGACTTGGTTATGTCTGAGCAGATTGTCTGTCCATGTTATTCCCTGGCTCTCTGGCATGCTGTTAAGGTCGGTGGTGCTCAGACACCAGGCTGAAGGGCACAGACACTACAGGAGAAACGCTACCACCTACCTGAAGGCGCCACTGTAGTCGTAATAGGGCTCATCTGAATTTCTCTCACACTTGCTCTGCCCATCTCCTCTGCAGAGTTGGCAGAGGGATTTGGGGTAATTTGCAGCATTGGCCCCAGGCACACAGCTTGCATTGAAATATTCACTAACAGCTGCAGGTAAAATTGGGGGTGAGATGATTTTAGCAACAAAAACAAGCCCCCTGTCCCCACAATCACATTTGAACAAACCCTGAAGGTACCCACCCTCCACTGTCCCATAAAACATTTAAAACTTATTACAAGCTTCTCCTTGCTCTCAGGAAACTATCTGACCTGGGGCTGGACTCTCACCTGAGCTGCCCCGGGACAATTCCCAGTAAGACTGAACAGCAGGAGGCAAAACCAGCCGCCCTGCTCACCTCCTGCCCTGGTGAAACCTCACTCCACTGGGGGGGCCATGGTCTTGCCCAGGCGAGGGCCGCTGGGAGAGCAGGGCTCACGTGGGTGCTGGTAGCATAACTCCTCGAAAGAGCAGGTTACAGGAGCTCTTACCTGTGGGGATATTGCATCCCATCACTGCCAGGCGGCCGCTGTCGATGAGGTAGCCAACGGGCACGTTCCAGCCCACCGTCCTGTTGATGCCAGTGTGGCACGACCTTGCACCCTCCAAACTGTTGATAGTAATGAAGGAATCTTTTCTGGTAACGGCCACCGCGTAGTATGACGTGCCCATCTCTGCACAGGGACAAAAGGGAATCAGGTAAAATAAACTAGCACGTCTGCTAGAGGGGGACACTGCACTACATTACAGCATAATGTGAGACACTACTCAGCTGAGACACGCTGACATGACATGGGCAGTCCCCATCTCCATGAGCAAAGGGTGCAGAGCTCAGACCCTGGCGTGATTCCACTCCCCCGATGAATACAGACCACAGTTGTCTTTTCTTCTTTAAATACAACTGCCAGGAAAATGGACTGAGCCGATTTAAGTGGGGTTACTTGTTAAGAGGATTCCACAGTTAACTTTGTTTAAAAATGTCACTTCTGCTTTTAGCAGCAGACCCATGAGCACTGCCAGGATGTAGCCCTACTTCTCCCTGGCACGTTGTTAGCTTAGGTTCGCAGATCTGTAGCATGTAAAGGCAGAAGGGACCGTTTGGGTGCCATAGTCTTTCTGGACTTCAGGAAGGCCTTTGACACCGTCTCCCACCCCATCCTCATTAAAAAACTAGGGCACGGTGGCGTCAACACCTACACAGTCAGATGGGTCGCCAACTGGCTGGAGGGCCGCACCCCGAGAGTGGTGGTGGACGGGTCGTTTTCGACCTGGAGGGATGTGGGCAGTGGGGTCCCCCAGGGCTCGGTCCTCGGGCCCGCACTGTTCAACATCTTCATCAGTGACTTGGACGAGGGGGTGAAAAGCACCTTGTTCAAGTTCGCGGATGACACTAAGATGTGGGGAGAAGTGGGCACGCTGGAGGAGAGGGATAGGCTGCAATCGGACCTGGACAGGTTACAGGGGTGGGCGGATGAGAACAGGATGGGTTTCAACACTGACAAGTGCAAGGTGATACACCTGGGGAGGAAGAACCAGCAGCAGACCTACAGGCTGGGGAACTCCCTTCTCGTCATACAGAGGCAGAAAAGGATCTTGGAGTCATCATTGATGCCAAAATGAACATGGGCCAGCAGTGTGGGGACGCGGTCAGGAAGGCCAACCGCACCTTGTCGTGCATCCACAGGTGCATCTCGAGCAGGGCCAAGGAGGTGATCCTCCCCCTCTACGCGGCACTGGTCAGGCCGCAGGTGGAGTACTGCGTCCAGCTCTGGGCGCCGCACTTCAGGAGGGATGTGGACAACATGGAGAGGGTCCAGAGGAGGCCACCCACATGATCAGGGGGCAGCAGGGCAGGCCCTACGAGGAGAGGTGACAGGACCTGAACCTGTTCAGCCTCCACAAGAGAAGGCCGGGGGGGATCTAGTGGCAGTCTACAAATTAGTCAGGGGGGACCAGCAGGCACTGGGGGAGTCCCTGCTCCCGTGAGCAATCCCAGGGTTACAAGAAACAATGGACACAAGCTAGCGGAGGGTAGTTTCAGGCTAGACATCCGTAGGAACTACTTCACTGTCAGGGCGGCTAGGACCTGGAACCAGCTTCCAAGGGAAGTGGTGCTGGCTCCTGCCCTGGGGGGCTTCAGAAGGAGGCAGTGCTTGTGGCTCTTGGGGACAGACTCCACCGTCCGTACACCCCTCAGCCCACTGATGGCCAGCACCATTCCCCCAGAGCCCAAAGCGGACCACGTGCTCCCTCAGCGGGAGCAGTGCTGTGCCCAGCAGGGTGGCTCACATGGCAGAGCCGCCGGAGCCGACTCGCTGATTTGCGCGCGGCGCTCGGCATACCCGGGTGCCAGCTGCTGAACGCACAGTGCCTCTAGCCGGGCACCACGAGGGATGGAGCCCGGCCCCCAGGAAATGCCACCCAAAGGGGCTGTGCTGTAGCAAGGCCTTTTGCGGGTACTTCTGTCTCAGGTAGGAGAGGGAAGAGCCAGCTTCCCCCGCCCACATCCACCTCTCCTGTCAGTCCCTGCTCCCTCCTGAGAGCCAGCCCAACCCCATCTTCCTGGCCAGGCCTGGCTCTGGTGATGGACAGCAGACGCCAAGGGGGGCAGAAGGGCCGGAAGTCAGGAACCGAAGGGGGGCATTGCTGCAGGTCCCGGATGTCCGGCACCCTGAGCAGGCGGCCCAGCCTGAGCTAATCGCCTGCACAGCCACACCTGCCTGAGGTCTCTGGCGACACACTCTGCCCCCGCCAGGTAACCAGCTGGCTTCCTGCCTGGCTGCTTGGAGCAGCGTCTCCCCGTTTGTTCCCGCTGCGGCAACAGTCTCCAGGCCAGGCCAGGCCACAGTTTTGACCCTGGTCTGCTGCGACAAGCCTCTGGTCCCTGGGCTCCCTGGGCCCTGACCCTGGCTTTGACTTTGTTCCTGGCCTCCCGTTTTCGATTCCCCTGTGAATCTGCTTCCTGACCCTGGATACCAACCAATGCTGTTAGACTTCAACCTGTGGATTATCCCTTAGACTTGGTACCTTGGCGTCCGCTTCCCAGACCCCAACCCTGACCCTGACCCTGACCCTGGCCTGTGCTGCGGACTCTGCCCCTGGGTTCTCCTTTGGATTTGGTAATGCGACTCCTGAACGGACCCAGGCCCAGACCACTGCCTTCCCTTCCCTCAGGGGCTTGCTAGGCCACACCACCTATAGCTCAGTCCTTGGCACCAAGAAGCTCCCTCCAGCAGCTGCCCAGCCGCTCGCCTCTCTGAGGAACAAGGGGGCTAGGAAGGGTGGCAGGGCTTGTCTTCCTTTCAAGACCCTGCTCCCGCCTGGATCTCACAGCTCACTATTTTTCCTTCCTCTCCAACCTACGTAAGAGGCAACAGGTTATTTTAGGGGGAAAAAAGCTGATCTGGTTCATGAGCAAGGTTTCTTTGTGTGTAGTATCTGCACACCGAACTGCCTTCGCTTACCACCAGTGCAGCACACGGTACCCGGGGCACGGCCTGAAAGCGCAGGAAGCACCCGAGAGCCTGCACTGGACGCAGCAGCGCAGTAACTCCTCTTCCCCGCACCTACCTTGATCGTACACTTCTCCCACCACAGGTTTCAGGTTATATTCCTTTCCCGCTTGGTAGATGGAGCCACCATCCAGCGTCACGGCGTCTGCCATGTTATTCTGTGAGAAAACAAGGCCAGAATTTGTCTCTTGTCACGGTTATTAGCATCCCTCCACAGCAGAGGACAGAGTCCCCCGCAGCCATGGCTGGTATCATCCTCGAGCTGCCAGGGTCCGTCCTTCTGGCCGTCAGACTCCTATGAACAACTGCGGATGGGGCCGCGTGTCGCTGACACCTTTTCGCCAGCTCTGCTCTTGCTCGAAACACAGCGGGGAAGGTGCCGCTGTGGTCGACCGGCGCTGGACTGTGGGAAGTTAGGGGCTGACCGCGGACGAGCCTCCAGCACCGCGATTGCAAGACCCCGCTAGTGCGTACACGGCAGGGGAACCTCCGTTCTCAGAAATGTCCCCAGCCCTTGCCTCTCCGCCTCCCGTGTCGGCGTGTCTGTGTGGGGAGCCCTCTCGCCTGGGCCCACTTTTAGCTTCCCTTCTTCTCTGGTCCAAATCTCAAAGGAAGCACAGAGTAGTTATATTTTCAATTTCAGAAAGACATTTTTGTGGCAATGTTACTTTTTCAGATTGTGAAATATTGATAGCAAAGGAAAGTGTGGACTTTAACAAGTATATATATGCTGGTACTGTTCTGCTAGCTTCCCAGTCAGCTAAGAAAGTCATCTCTCTCATGGGAGATGGGGTTTTTTGGAGTAGTGGCATCTCTAAATTGTAGTGGGGCCCCTACCCCATTACTGAAGGAGAGAGCGAGAGCCATGGATCAGCTGGACGGCTCCAGCCTCCTGGACAAACCGGGAGCGGCAGACGGCTCTTCAGTGATCGAGAGGCCTGGGGCGGAAGCAGTGGGTCAGGCGACCCAGGGAGAGACATACACGTACAAGCCGAGGCAGGGGCTCGGTCCGGCCCTGCAGGCTGCAGGAAGCTGCGCTCCAGGCGGCAGTGGGCCTGGCTGGGCAAGGAAGGACTCCAGGCTGCAGAGAAGCTGCAGGAGCTCCTGCACTGCCAGGCAGCCAAAGATAAATATTTTGGGGCCTTGCCACGGTGTGCCACGGCTTGCCAGGACGGAGAACCTTTTGTTTGAGAGCAGATGCTCATATCTTTTTGTTTGCATCTGAACACCAGAGGACCGGCTGTGGCCGTAGGGGCAGAGGAAGCCAATGAGAAGGGTGCCAAGGTTTAGTGCCGCTGTTAGTGGTAGGACTGTGGTGTTGGGCAGCAGACTGGGGGTACAAGCACAGAGCCCAGCGCCTGCGTGGGTAGGGCTGGAGCTGGGCCCTGGGAGCCTGCAGTCCTGAGACTCGACCTCAGGCAGACGGACCGAGGCCAGGGGACCTTAGCCCAGACAAGCGCCTCAACCCAGACCCCCCTGCTTTCTAGGACAGCCTCCCAGCCAATCATCACATCAGGGTACGGCGGGAGAGAACTGGATCAGCACAATAAGGACTGGTTGCTTTTGAGCAGAGGCTGCTGTGCTCTTGGAGACTTTGGCACTCTGACCCACCCCAAATGGGGGTACTGAAGATGACCGGGGAAGCCAGGGACTGGGAAGAGCCAAGGTCTCGACGTCAGAGGCTTTCCCTGTATGGCACCATGCTAGGGAGGGCTGCAGAGAGTCCTCTTGGGAGAGGGAGACCGAATAAGGCTGCTTCTTGGGTAGTGCAAGGCAACACTTCCCCTTCCCCCTGAAAAGGGGCAGACTGATCCACTCTGTGACGGAGACCCTGCTTCATCCGTGTCACTGCATTTGTGAAGTGCCCACTCTGGGCCCATTCGGGACTCCAACACCAAGGGGAGATCACTTATTAGATGCTCCTGGGTGGCTTTGCCAGCTGACAGCAACCAGGTTGTACTTTACCTGCAGCACAAGCACATGCATGGAACCGAGCCCAGATCACGCGGGAGCAGACCTTTGGCCGCTGACAACTCTGGTGCCTCCCCCGTGCCGGCCCTGCCTCAGGGAGCAGAGTTCAGTCTACCGCCGGCTCAGAGATCACAGGCAGCTCTATCTGGACAAGAACAGCTGCAAGGGTTTCGTAGATCATTAGAAGAGGGGGAAAAACTGCTCTCAAGGACAGAGCTGCGCCCGAGGCATGACTGCACTGATGGCTCTGCGGGGCTCAGCAAGGAGCCAGTCCAGGGTCAGGCACAGCCCACGATTTTGCAGCTTTGTGCACTGGCTGGAGGACCTCTCAAGAAATGGCCACAGGCTCCCACAGTTCAGAAACGCCATTGCTGGCGTCCTGCCTGCCAGCTCAGCACTTCACACACGCTGGCTTTGCAACTCCTCGCTGGGCTACATCCCGGACACTGGGACAGACTGACTAATGTTACAGCCTCAGGAGGTGCAGACTAGGCACAACCCGAAAAACACGGCCCAGAGACATCCGTGACCATTCCCACGCCTCTCTGGCAGAGCCCTGCTCAGTTCGTTACAGGCCTGGGCCCTGCAGCAGCCGCGCTCCAGGAGGGGCCGCGTAACCGCTGACGGGCAGACGCTCCGGCTCCGCTGCGCCCACGCTGACAGGTTGCACCGTGACGATGACCGCAGCTCCCCACTTCTGCACCGCCAACCCCATCCGTGTCCCTCTGCACCCCCTCAGACAAACTAAACTCCTGGCCTGTTGCAGAACGGCCCTGGACCCAGCCCTCCAACTCTGCCCTACACGCACCCCACAGCATTGCCCTGCCTTTGCGGCATCACTTATGACTAGCTACCAACCTGCCTTCCCTTGGCCCCTCCATGCCAAACTCCCACCAGCACTCGCACAGCGGCTGTTCTGGCTCCTTGCAGCCCCCGGGAGTGCAGCTCGCCGAGTGCCCGCAGACCCTTCCCACTGGGCCAGGCTGAGCTGCTAAATCCAGACCACCTCATAGCTCAGGTTTCCTTGCCCACGTCCTGCTTAGCCTGCCCCTCACGTCCCATCTGAGCCCTGGGCTGGGAGTGTGGAGGGGTGGGGGAAGGCCCTTGGAGGGCTGTGCAGCTCCCTGGCCCATGACAGAGGCGCCTCAGTGCTGCTGTCGGGCAATCAATAACTGACTCCGATATTCATTCCTGCACCCCAAGACCTAAATACCACCCGAGAACTGGTGTCTGCCTTACGCAGAATGAGTGAGAGGCTCTGTATGACCAGCAGTGCAAATCTGGAAATCCTTGTGCCTTTGCTTGCTAAACGCTCTTTAGGAGCAGAAAACACGTTCTCCTGGCACCAGGGCGAATGAATGCGTCAGTGGAGAGGCCCCAGGCAGGACATCCATGCGTCAGCTCCTGGCAGAGCTGCAAACGCTTCACTTTCACCCTCTAGCCTTTGATTCTTCCAGCCATTCATTTCCTATCAGCAACTAGTGAAGTATAGTTTAGGAGCTCTGAGGTATTTGAAGACACAAAACTACATAAAGAACGACATAGCAATTAAAAACACAGGTTTACACACACGCGGCACCTTCATCTAATGAGCATGAAGCGTGCTGTGAACTACACGTGCCAGTTCTGAAACCACATGCTCATCATAGCGTGATAAATCAAAGCACCAGGTCAGGAATAGTCAGGTCCAAGACTGCCCTGTGCAGATGAACCCTTGCCACAGCTCTGCTATGGTGCTAGTTTATTGCTGCTCCAGATAAAGAGACGGGACGTGCGTCAGGGAGAACAACAGTTTCTGCGCAGCAATACCCATAACCTTCCAGGATCCCGATACCGGCTGTCCTGCACACGGGCGTGGCGGCATGCATGGTGGGTCACGGACAAAAGGGAATTATTGGAGCAGCGAGGTTTCTGCTTATCCAACTGCCACCGTCGCTCTCAGAAAGGAACCTTTCCAAAGGGGCTCAACCTACCCTGGACTATTTACTCAGCACCGTAGAGCTGCGGCTGTTGGAGCCAGCGCCCCTTTTTCCTTCCACCACCAGAAGCAGCTGCGTTTACCTGCTTGGGGAAGTGCCTATTATTTCTATAAGACCATGTCCCAGGATACTTATTCCCATTGTATTCAGCCCAGCAGTGTGTTTGAGCATGGTGCAGAAAACTGGAGCGAGCTTTAGCAGCTTGCACCCTGGCGTATTAGAATATTTAACAAACAGGTGTTAATTGGGGCTCACAAAGGGCAATGGAAGAACAGTCACCCTGGCACTACAAACAGGGTGGAGGGGACCGGCCCTGTCCTGTCCCAGGGTGCGCTGCGTGTCATTTCTTGGTGCTGCACAGGAGCGGCACGCCTCTACACGGAGCCCAGACTGCAGCCCAGCACGTCTGCCCGCCACGTGTTCTGCCAGGCAGTGTCAGCACCGAGTCTGTCCTCCGCACTTCTGCGTTTAGGGCCCTGCATTTGCCCGATGGCATTTCTGCATGTCTGGACGTAATGCAATGCTTCTCAAATGCTTTGTGCAGCATCTTGGGGAACTACTGGTGGCTAATCTTGGGAAAGACTAGAAACTTTAAGAGCCATTTGGGAGCTCCTTAAAGAGCCACAGCAGGTGCCGGCTCCAGGAGGCTGGCACCCCCTGCTCTCAGCCTTACACAGCGCTGTCTGCGCTCCCACCGCACACGGGTGGGCAGTGGGCCAGCGCTGCTGCGTATCTTAGCTGAGCTGCCCTCAAGGCCTAGGTCCCTGTTCTGCCCATACGTGCCCCCTCTGGGGCCTTGCATCCACCACCCCCACCCCAACGTACCTACCGTCCCCTCCCTGTCTCCACTCCAGACCCTCCTCTCCACTCCTCCAAGCTCCGGGGGGGGCGTTATTCTAGGCTGCTGGTTCTGTAAGGAGCGCAGGCCAGCGGCACACCTGGCCTGGCAGCTCGGGGAGGTCGTGGCACCAGCCCTGAGCAAGATCAGTCTTCCGCACTGAGCAAGCTGCCCTTATGAGAGCTGCACCGATAAAGACCTTTTGGGCTGATACCAAAGGCCAATATGGACCGGCCGTATCAGCCAATACTGATCCGGTTGCCGATATGCAGCCTGGCAGCTTGGAGAGCAGCATCCGCCCGGCCAGTCTGTTGTGGGGAAAGGGCAGGGGCGTAGCGGGGCAAGATCAGTCTTCCGCACTGAGCAAGCTGCCCTTATGAGAGCTGCACCGATAAAGACCTTTTGGGCTGATACCAAAGGCCAATATGGACCGGCCGTATCAGCCAATACTGATCCGGTTGCCGATATGCAGCCTGGCAGCTTGGAGAGCAGCATCCGCCCGGCCAGTCTGTTGTGGGGAAAGGGCAGGGGCGTAGCGGGGCGCAGATCAAGGCCCCCGCGGTGAGGGAGGGAGTGGGGCAGAGCAGGCATTGCGGCTCCTACCCCTGCGTGCAGCCCCGGGGGAGGCATGGGGGGCACATGCACCCTGGATCTATGCTGGGAGCGAGGGCAGGCTGGGACTGGGGGCGGCGCCGAGCTCTTCCTGGCCAGGGGGGGCAGGCTGCGCTCAGGGCAGGCAGTGGCGGCACTGGGAAGGAGGGCTTGGGGAAGGCTACAGCCACCCCAAAATTTGCCATAGCCCCCCCACAGCCTCCCTCCCATGCCAGTGCTGCCTGCCTCAAGAGCAGCCTGATCCCAACCCCCACCCCGCCGCCAGGAAGAGCCTGGTGCCCCCCCCAGCCCCGGCCTGCAGCGGCAGCTTGCCCTCACCCCGCACACAGATGGGGGGCACGTCCCCCCCATCTCCCCCAGGGGTGCATGCTGCCCCACTCTGGCTGTGCAGTGCCTGCCCTTGCCCCACTCCCTCCCTCCTCGTGGGGGCCCCGACCTGGCCCCCCCATACCCCTTTCCCACAACAGACTTGACAGGCGCTGCTCTCCACGCTGCCAGGCTGCATCCCTGGCCGTGGCCTTGCTGGGGCTGCACACACGCACGCGGCATTTGTCAGCAACATAAACCAAGAATAGCTGATTGCTGATAATGTCAGCTTTCCTTGTACTGGTGCCGATACGATATGGACCCACGTATCGGTGCGCCTCCAGCCCTCGTGAAGAGGGCTCCCTGGGGCAGAGTACCGTAAGCGTCAATGCAGTCCCCATCCCAGGGCTTCCCCCCCCATTGCTCCTTCCGAGGTGGGTCACAGACACGAGAGCAGAGGAGCTGCTCTGAAAGGTCTGAGGCTCCTGTTTCTGCTCTTTGTGACTGGGTCTGCCTGAGCAGAGAAGACAGTACCTAGTGGGAAACACTGAATGGAAACTCCCCTGGCACGGCAGGGAGACTTGAGAGGTGCAAGCACCTGTAAACAAGGAGGCCCCTACTTGGTTTTATCAGCTACTCAATGCACAGCCGTCTCCTTTGTCGCTTGGGCAAATGATTTTTCCCTGCTCCCTGCTTTCCAAGGAGCCAGCCAAGGGTGAAACATCTTAGCACTCACCTTGATCAAGTAGGTGCAGTTACTGGCCGAGCCACCCCTCACACAGGACAGACGGGGAAGGATGTTGGCCTCCGCGAAGGCTGAGTTCATGTCATTGCACTTGGCCATTTCCTCGACGGAGATGGTGCACCACCTGATGTGCGGCAGGCCGCAGGCTGTGCAAAACACCGAGAGAGGCTTTAGTATATGCTGTGCCTTTGTACCTGAGCCCACAGATCGATTATAAAAGAGCCAGACCGCGAACGTTCAGCAGCAAGTGGCCTCCCCGAAGAAATCCTGCGCAGGGACCGGTTGCGCGCTGGAGCCAGGCCCTACCTCTTGTTAGCCTGAATGAAAGCCCAGCCCCAGGTGTTCAGAAAGGATGCTTATGGCATTACATGGCTGGAAAAGTTGCCTCCCGGGACACCCCTTTGTAAGAAGCCCTTCCCAAAGCCATCGAAAGATGTACCAACAAACGAACAGGCACAGGCACCTACGGCAGTTATCTGCCAAGTGATGAAAGACATTTTCTGTAAGTCAAAGAAGGACCTTGCCTTGGTCTCTAAGTGCATCTGCAAACAGACCATTGCTTGGGTAAACCAGCACTGCCATGTGCCAGGCAGCAAGCAGGCTGGCCCCCGCCTGCTGATTATAGACACACGCGTCTTGCACGAGCTGGTGCATGTCCCGTGCACAAATTCAGTGCCTGCTTCTACAGTTTGGTTTTTGAGAGTCCAAGTCCAGCTCCACTCTCAGACACTTGTAACTTGAGGCTGCTCATGTCGTGCTCCTCTCCCCCATCTGACTTAGCTTGTGCTCAGCTAAGATTTCTGTAGAGAACAGCAGGAAGGAGAGCTGGACAGGAGCTCAGTGTGGGGGCCGCATCTAGTCCGACACCCTGGGCGGTGCAGCAACATCCCCGCACGAACCACTCCAGACAAAAGTCTCTCTTGCCTGCTTCTACATGTGCTGAGCTACGGCTGTTCCCTAACCTCTCTAGGAGGCCTGCTCCAATGCTGCACCACTGTCATGGCTAGAAAGTTCTTCCTACTATCCAACCTACGGTGATCCACGGCATCTATTTTTTCTGGCTTTGCAGGAAAGGGTGTGCTGCAAACACCCACCAGGACCTAGGGCAAGTCTTCCAGCTGGAAGCGCTCTGGTGCTGTGACTCACTTAGCCTCGCAGAGCCCGTGAGCTTTACCCTCAGCCAAACAACACCAAGGAGCTGGATGCCTACTGCGACACAACTCACAAGCAGCTCCGCTGACATCAACATCCATCCAAATCAGACCCAAATATCATCTGCCAGTGTGACTTGAAACCCAGACCCTGGCACATGTTTCTTGGCCCCGGCTCAGGCCAGCCTGCACTATAGAGTCACACAGACCTCGTGGCATGAGCAGGTGTGTACCGTGTGCACAAAAATTCAGTGCCTGCTGAATTCAGGCTTTGCACCAGGCCCCTGGGCTATTACAGTTCTCAGAGGCTAGAGACCCAGCAGAAGACACAAGGCTTCTCTGGCATCCCAGCACAGGAGGCTGGTGGGCGATCAGAAGCAGTGGTCAGTCTGTGGGTGAAGAGCACATGTTCCCACCCTGCGTTCCCTTCCTTTTGATAGTAGTGACTATCCCGCAGATAAGGGGGTTGGGTTCCTTTCCTCTTCAATCCAGCTCATTTACATTTTCACAACTCTGTCCATGCTCCACACGGCCCAGGGTCAGCGTGACTCTCCAATCCTCGCATTGCACCGAATGCTACGACAAGCGGCGCAGACAATAGCTGTATTGTACACGGGGACGAGTCTTCCGTGTTAGTCTGGGAGATGAAAGATCAATGGCCCCTGCTGCTTGGCTCTGTTTCTTTCTAACATATGTGATGAAATCGTATGAATCCACTCCTTTCTTCTTTGCTCAGCTACTAGGGCAGGGAGTGTAAGTTTGCCTCTTGCGAAACTGCTGCAAATAGCACTGCTTCCAGCACTGGCCAGGTGCCTGCCCTGAACAGAGGATCCCTTTCAGGATGATTACGAGTTAACCCATTTGGAGTGGGGCTAGAGATGGCCGGTGGTTAGCTGCCCTCCTGCAGCCGGCCAAGCACGCGTTAGAACAGCAAGCTAGTTTCTGACCCCACATTGATGCGGTGTCCTGGCTGCTTTGCAGACATACATCTGGCACGAGATGGTGGGAGATGGTAAGCCCCATTTGCACCATCTCAGGCTCTACTTCAGTAACTTCTTGCTCTCAGAATTACAAAGCCAATTCTTTTACCAGCACAACAGAACTACAGCCCTGCGCAGTCATGCTGGTATCACGTTACAGTTCAAGTGCGTCCAGAGAGTGCGTGGAGCTAGTATCTCTGGGGCTTTTATCAGAAGACGTCTCAAAGATTAGGATTAGACTATTTTACATGTGTGCCTGGTATCTGGGACTTTTGGCAACGGCACCCGCGAAAGGCACCACCCTGGGGCTGGGGAAAGCCAACACACCACAGGGCAGTACAGGGCAGAGAGGAGACGACATGCAGGCAATCGCCCGCTCCTGCAGGAAGCGCCGCAGGAACCCAATGCCCATGCAGCACAAACAGGACCTCAGGGGCAGACGGCTGGGGGATCTGGACTGATCAAGCAAAGCAGTCGCTGCCAGGTT